AATTATTTCAAAAAAATAAAAATGAAAAAAATTAAGAAAAAAAAAAGTAAAATAAAAATTTTGAGATACTGTTACACATATTACAAATTAGCAAAAGGAATGTAAAATCTACAGCAAACAGTGTTTCGAAAATTTTTATCTTATCTCTCTCCCTCTCTCTTTCTCCCTCTCTCCCTCTTTATCCCTCTTATCACTAACTCCATATGAACTAAAAAGAAAAAAAAATTATCATTAATTGATTTTTGCAGTGTTCAGTTGCGTTTTGAACATTTGAAAAAAAAATAGAATACAAAAAAAAAGGAAAAATATGAAATGAAATCACAAAAAAAAAGAGAAACGAAAAAAGCACTTTTGCAATGATTGTGAAAAATTCATTTGGTAAGCTTCTCATCATTTTCAATTTTTCAATTTCTATTAACTTCAAAAATTTCGTCTCTTTCTTCCGCATCCATCGCACTAATCTTCGAAACATCTCATCTTTTGCATTTCCGTCACAAATCATTTACAAGAAAGCAAAAAAAAAAAGTGATTTATTTGAATGCATTTTAAAACCATTCCCAATATTCTTCACATTTGTATCACTCTGAAAATTTAAATAATTAAATTTAAATGTGTAAAAATAAAATTTGTATTTGTAGTTTTAATTATTTTAAATTACTAATTAATAAGAAATGATAGATGTTTTTCAGCCTTTTTTTTTAATTACATATTTAGTTTATAAATAAATTTTTGATTAGTTAACATTTAGAAAAACATCTTATTAATAATAAATAAAAAACATAAATAGCTATGATAAAAGAAATAAAAATAAGCGAGGAAAAAAGCCTGAATGTATATATGATAAAGTATTTGTAACGATTTTTATATTTTCAGCAATAATTAATTAATCATATTATTTATAAATTAGCTAATTAATATGCGATGTATAAGTATTGTAATCATTAATTTTAAAAGTATCACAATTTTTTTTGTTTGTATTATAAGAGAAAAACGAAAAAGTTTACTGATATTAGAACAAAATGTAAAATATGCTTTTCAGTTGCATTTAATATTTCATTTTTTTTTCCAATCTACAATCATTCTAACTTCACAATTCTTTCTTCGTTTTTCTTCTATTCTTTTCTTTTTTTTGAAAAAAGTTTTAAAAAATTGCAAATTTTATAATACACATCATAGATAATTTGTTCCTATGTTACACATAGCTTTTTAGTTTGAATTTAATGCTAATTAAATGTTGAATATCACAGAACTTTCCTTTTTTTTGACTGATACGAATATTTTTGATTTTTTTGCTTACTTTTTTTTGTTTGTTAATTTTTTTTTTTTAAATTCATTTCAAACATTCTTTTTTTCTCTCACTCTCTCTCTCTCTCCTTTTCTCTATATTTCGTTTTCTTTTTGTAACTTTTTTTGAAAGAAATTATTCAATTTTTTTTGCTTATCATCAAGCTACATCAATTTATTTATGTTTATAATATTATGGAAATAAAAACATAGCTTTTCTGAGCATTTTTCATGTTCTTATTTTGGAATAAAAAAAAATGTTTATAGCAATTTTTTTAAAAAATATTTACAATAAGGATAAAAAATAAGATAAGAAGACAGGAGGAAAGAAAGAAAGAAGTGATAAAATAATTAAATAATTGAATTTTTTTTCAAAATTTATGAATATATACAATTTTTTAAAGTAAACAAAAATACATCTAACAGCAATAAAAATTTTTCATTTCGATTACATATTACAACTATAATATTTCAAGCTTCCCAGAAATACGAATAATTTCTTCGTCCTTCTTTTTAGATTTATTTTCATTGAATGTTGAAAATTCTGTTTGTTTCTTAGAATTTTCCACATTGAGATATTGCATATGAAGTCGTTTGATAAGATCTAATGTTTCCATTGATATTCGTCCTTTTAAATCATCAAAATTATCATTGATAGATGATTTAACTGATTCATCGGAGAATGATGTTGCATTTCTTTCTGAAACAAAAAAAAGAGCGAATAATTCATTTTTAGGCTGAATTTCATCAAAGTTATTGTCAAATTTTTAATATTACTTAGCGCTAAATCTGTTTCAAAAATTATAAAAAATTTATTTCAAACATAAAATTTTACTGCAAAAGAAATAAATAAAAGAGACAATTGTATTCAACGATAAATTCATAAATATTTTATCTCTAAATTTGTTAAATAATATGACTGAAATAATTATTTACGCCAATCTTAATTTTAATCAAATCTATTTAGATTACCTGTTTGTGACCAATCATCATCTAATGTCCTCACAATGTTGCACATTGAAGAATTTATTGTCACCGAACTTTGATTTAATTCGTTTTCACATGAATCATTTCTGAAATGATTCAATTGTAATTTCAACTCTATTATAAAAAATGAATTGAAAACTTTCTATTGAATCCATTTTTATCACTAATATCAATTGTAATTAATTTAAAATTAGTAATAAATCATAAAAAGTAAAGCAAAGTATTTCGAAATACTAGTTTAAAATTAAAACTTACTTTCCAATTATTATTTCGACATCTGCTTCCGCTGAAAATTGTAAATTTATATAAATTTGTCTTCTTTTTTTTGCTAACCAAATAAATTTTTGATATTTTTAATATATGAAAAATGGTAGAAACGAAAACTCAATAGGATTTAATTGTTTATATGAAATTTGCATCATCTACATCATATAATTCTAAAATTTTAAACTCCATCAACAATTCAATAGAATTCTATTCATTTGCTTTATGCTATACCAAAAAGAAAAAAAAATTCAACCAAATTATTTTGTAAAACTATTCCATGAAAATTTCTACAATTTTGAAAAAGTTTTATTGCTTAATAACAGTAATTTTTACCACTGTATGATTTGAAATGATAAGACGTATTGTTTACTTTTAAAAAAAAAATCGAAATATTGATCTAATCAATTATGATATTATTATAAAAATATAATTTACCAATATATATATATGAAAATTTGTTTTTTGCATAATAAAAATTTATTTATTATAATATTATATGTATAATAAAAATAGTACTTTTTTTTTCAGATTAATTTGAATGGTTATAATTGTTATCTAAATGTAATTCCATTAATAAACTTGCAAATTCAAACGATAATTCTAACATAGTTCACACATTTATAATAAAATTAATTGTAATATAATGCTGTAATTGCTATTCATTAATTTATATATTTTTTTTTTAAAAAATGCTCCTTATCTAATTAAGATATAAATTAGTTTAATAATTTAAAAAGAAAAAAACCAAAAAACAACAAAAAAAAAAAAATTACCATTTATAGTGATGAAGATAATAATTAGAATGGATGAAAAAAGAAAATTCATGTAAGTAAAAGTTTTTTTTCTTCGCTTTTTTTGTATAAAAACTTAAAAAAGTTTAATTTCGAAATTTATTTTCTACAAAAAGCATATAAAAATTATAACGAGAGAAAAACGAGAAGTTTTGAGGGATAATAACGATATGTGGTATGATTAGATGGCTGATGATGAATGATGATGTTTGCTACTATCACATATATATATATACTTTTCAATTTGAAATGGATCATTTCAGTCAATAATCACTCCTAGGATTAATCATTTATTTATTATCGTCACATTTAAATCCTGTTCTCAATCTGTTAAAAGTCGTCGATCGTTTGTTTATTTGTTTATTTATTCAAATTGTATGGAACAGTTGTTAAATGTATGTAAATAAAATATAAATAAATTACCTTTTCAATATTTACAAATATTCAATTCAATGAATGTTTTATTGATTCCAAAAATTATAATAAATTATATTTATGTTAAAAAGAAAAAAAAATAGCAAAGAAAATTGCAAAAATTTTAATTTAAAAAGTTTCTTTTTTTTTGGCAATTTAAAATATGATAATTAACGAATAGTAAGCAAATTTTTTAGCTTTTTCGATTTGTTATTTTGTTTTTTCCTTTTCCTTCTTCTCGTTTTTTTTTTTTAATGAATGAAAGATATAATCAAATCAGTGAAACAGAAAAAAAAAAAAAGATTTTTTAAAATGAAAATTGTACGTTAAAATTGTAGAGATTTAGAAAGTCTGTATAGTGTTAATTGTTTTCATGAAATTTAATTTTTCTGCTCAATTTTAATCTTTTATTTTTGCAGAAAAAAAAGCTGCTCTTTTTAGATGAAATTTTTTGGTATATTTTAAAAAATTATCATTGGAAAATTAAAATTTTCTCATTTTACTCTTTAATATTAAAAAAAATTTTTTTCCAAAAATCTTGTTTTGCCATACGTAAAATTTATTATGATTTTTTAAAACTAAAAATTTATGATGATAAAACGGAAAAAAGTGAGTTCTATGAAATATATGTGCATGTAAAAAAAAAAAGAATTATATGTCACATTGAAGTATTACTTTTTAAATTAAATTCGATTTTACAAAGTGACAGCAACAAATTATTGAATTATAATCACTAATGATTTACACTTAAATTCTACCAGATAAATTAAATTTATGGTTAACAAATGCTAATTTCAGCATCTTAGTATTTGATAAGTTTGATCTTAAAATAAATAATTTATAAAATTTAATGTCACAAGAACAAGAACTGCATTACCGGGATGACAAATTTTGATGAAGAATGAATAATTACTTATAATTATATATATATAATTAAAATTTGTTCATTTTGAAATACTAAAATTGACATTTGTTGTCCTTTTTGTTTTGTAGCTTGTGAAAATATCATTTTTCCGTAGTATTTTTTGTTTATGACAATATGATAACATAACAATGAATGCAAAATAAACTTTTACTTAGTTTAATTCGTTTAACTTCAATACAAATATGGGATAACAAAGTGATAATAATATCATATTCAATAATTAACACCGATAAGATATAAAATTGAGCAGTGTAATTTTTCTTTTTTTTTTTAACTTTAGTTTCAAACATACGGTATGCATATAATATTTGTTTTAATTTATAAAAAAAATATCAAAAAGAATCTCGTCGAAGAAGTGATTCATTATGAACATTTGTAAAATTTGAATTAGTAGTTGTTAATCCAATTAAAACTTTTTCATTTTTTGCTGTTATATTTCCAATAATATCAATTGTTACATGATTTTGCTCATTAAATTTTCCTAATGGATTTTCAGTGATAGCATTAGACATGCAACCACCAACGATAATTTGACCATTTGCAGTTAAACCCATAATAATTGTTGCTAAATGTTTTGTTATTGGTAAACTATTATCAGTTGTTCTATTAGCAATTATTAATTCACCATTAACAGTTATACCACTAATAACTTCATTACTATTTATTTGTTTAACATTCTCATGTTGCTCATTTAGATAATCGTCCAAATTTTGTGATAATATTGATAATGATGAAATGACTCCTTCATTGATAATTGATTCATTTTCTTCTTTGCTGCTTAATTTTTTATTGATTGCCATGCTTAAACCATCAACAATTATCTGTCCATTTTGCATCAAACCCATTATAATCGGTTTGCCTGAATGATAATCATCAGTAAATGTTTGTTTAACATCATCAGCAATATTTGGATCAGATAAATTAAAATCAGATATTGTAAAATTGAATAAATTTCCAGTAGTATAACCAAATAATGGTGCGTGCTGAATGCATGATATGTTATTACTATCATCGTGTTGTAAAATATTGGAAAGCATTTCATCATAATGAATATTATCAGTATTGCTCATTTCGAAATCATTCGAAATCGTAAATGATGCGCCAAATTCACGATTGAAAGTGTTATCAAGTAATGTCCCATTTGAAATTTTCTCATCATTGGAAGGATTGAATTGTTGAAATGGTTCAGTTAAGTTGATCATTTGCTGTTCCGAATGATATTCTTTCATATTGTTTAGTATATCCATTTGATCAACAAATGTTGAACATTGTTCTGCTTCATTGAATGTAATAGTTGGTATTGAATTTTGTTGTCTATTACTATTATTATTTAGAGATAAAGCTAGATGCTCGATATTTCGCGGAATTAATGATTCATTACTGAAATATTGATTTGAATCATCCATTTTCATCATGCCTGATGAATTAGCTGAAGATGATGAAGCATTTTGTGTTGTCATATGAAGTGATGTTGTTGGATCTGCAAAAAAAAAAATTAAAAAAAACAAGAATTTTTTTTTTGCTTTTATATTTAAAAAATTCGAAAAAAAAATTTAATGGTAAAGTGATTACAAGATTTCATCTCTAATTTAAATTCATTAAAATATTTAGACTGTATGAAACTTACGATCAGGTGATTGCACAAATTGAACTTTATAGACAAATTTACGATGACGTACGTCAATCACTGAATCTTCTTCTTCCTCTTCTTCTTCTTCCTCTCCTTTTTTTTCAACTGAAACAAAAACTTTTTTAAAAAATGTTTTTTTCCTTTTTCTTCTTTTTTTTTTTTTAAGAAACAAATACCTTTTTCTTTTCAATAAGGAATTAGGCTAAAATTAAGAGCGAGCGGGAAGAGAGGAAAAAAATTATCAGTTCAGATTGCATTAAATTTAGTGAAATTATTTTTAAAAAAAAGATGAAATAAAAATTTAATACTTGCTTTTTCTTAATTTTAATGATTAATTAGGCTAAAATTCAGATTATATTTGTTAAAATAATATGATGAACAAATGTTATCGAAATGTATATTATCATACCGAAAATAAGTAGTCATTTTCAACAGATATTTTTAACTTTGCTTACAAATTAATAAGATTAATGCTACCTGTTTCGAAATAATTTCTAACAATGTACTTTTATTGTGTTCAATAAATGATTCTCAATAATGTTAACCGTATTCAATTTAATAAATGATTGACCCATTTCACAGTAATTTATGAAACGAATAGAAAATGAAAAGATAAATGAGAGTAGGCAGGGTTTTAATTTAAAAATTTAATGGGTAAATCTACTTTTTTTAAGTGGTGCTGGTTTAGGAATAACAGGTCAATCAAAGAATTCATAGGAACTTGAAACAATATTCATCAGAAGAGAAATGTTAAGAGATAAAGAAAGAAAGGAGAAAATCATATTTCTTATTAATTGATAATAATAATAATATGTAATTATAATATAAATCAGTCAAAAAAAAGTTATTCTTAGTAAATTAACTTAACTAATAAGAAATAAATCATTGATATATTTTTTTATCGATATCCGTTAAAATATATGAGTTAAGAAAACAAATCAAGTTGATAAGGACTGATAATAATTAAAAGTTATACAAATAAAGCGTAAAATTGTTAATAAAAACTGATGATAGCATTAAAAATAGGCAATTAAAATATAGGTAAAATTTTAATTTAAAATAAATTAAAACGCAGGAAAAAAAATGAGAAAAATTTACCTTTCGATTTGATATCATCAGCCATTTCTTATTGTTGATATTATTGTAGAACTAATAATATAAAATAATTTAATTCAATGAATTTAAATCAGATAGAAAAAATAAAATAAAATGGAGAATCCCAAAATTATTACACCGTTTAAATAAAAATAAATTTGAATCGTTTTCTTAGCTTCTGAACTGCTGTTCGTAAAATTTGAAAATATTTTTTGAGATAGAAGAAGGTGATAAAGAATGAAAGGAAGAAAAGCACCACAGCTTACTTTTACAATTTTTGTTTCTAAGATGAAATGAAGAAGAAATGTAAAAGTTTTTTTTTTCCTTTCATTTTTTTCCTCTTTCTTTCTTGTTTTCGCTATTTTTATTTATTTATTTGTTTTATTTATTTTTTTTTTTTCGGAAAAGAGAAACAGAAATGAAATAAGAAAAGAAGCTAGAATCGGAATGACATAGCATGTTTGTAGTTAGAGGGATGTAGGTGTAATGTGATATACACATACATGTCTGTGTATGTATGTGTGTATGTATGTGTGCACTGTGTCTGCTTGTGATATGATAACATTAAGCATTCTTAATCTTTCACCGCTAAATCTTTCAAATTTTTTACTTATCACAACATATTTTCACTTGAACAAACGTATATACATATATATATATATATAACACACAGGCACACAGACAAAGACACACACACACACACATGCATATGTATATGCAAAATAATTTAGAATAAATTTTTTTTTACCAGTTAAAAGACTAAAAAAAATTTTTATACGATATATTTTTACTTCCTTTCTTAAAATTTAACATCGTTTTTAAATTTATTGCACATTGCTCTCCTTCTATTCTTTTATTGCTATTTGCAAGTAAATTTGCTTTAAAAAAGAAAAAAAAGACAAACGGAAACAGAAGAAAAGAAAGAAAACTAATTTTTCAAAGTGTTAGCAAAAATGAGGAAAGGAACAACTGTTTTGATTGTTTTCTACTGCATTTTAAATTTCATTCTAAATAATACATTCTTTCACATTGAAAAAAAAAAAAAACAAAAATTTTGCTGCCTTTTATATGTGCACGAAATAAGTTTCACATTTTAGAATGATGTATGATTAATAATGGTAATTAATAATAATGATAACTTATTCAATTTTACTACTTTCCAAACAATGACTAACATTTGTTTTCTATTTTTTTTTTTCCAAGTATTTTGAGTGCAAACTTAAAAATAAAAAAATGTGAATTTCTTTTTTTTACAGAAATAAAGAAAAAAAAACGAGAAATTGATCATTGTTTCAGCTATTTGTTTTGTTCCTGCAAAAAAAATAATTCTATTTTTGCATTAAAAAATAAAAAATTTTTTATTCATTTGATAGCAAAATTAAAAAGTTTTGTTACTTGAAATTATTCAAAAATCATTTTAATGGAGGATAACAAAAATATTATTTATCAGTGTAAACAAAATATTAGTGATCGATAATAATTATGAGAGTGGAAACCTGAAATATATGATTCTTAGAATTTCCAGTTAATTAATATATTGATGAATCTGGAGCTTTTTTGCAAGTTAAAAATTATTGTTGTATGAAATTTTTTTTGTGCTTTTAATTATTTACTTCTATGATCAAACTTTTTTTTTTTATTTATTTACTTCAAGTTATTATTTTATTCGTTTCTTTAACTAGAAACGGCTTACTTTTCTTTGAAAAAAGGGAAAAGCTATATATTATGTAATCATAACTATGCATATTCTTATGATAGCTTATCATCTTTTATAATTTTTTACAGTATTATATGCTAAATGTTAATTAATGATGCTTGTACTAAAGTAGTAAATTTAACAATATTCTCACTAATTTGCTAATTAACACTACTTCCACTAAAGTAATGAGTTTAATAATACTCTAATTCGTTTAAGATTTTAGTGAAAGCGATTCCTCATCCGAAATTTTTTTATTATGTAAAAAAAAGGCATAGTAAAAACTTTTTTGTTAAATTTTATTAAATTTCAATCAGTACTAAGATATTAAATTTATCAATTTTTTGCTTCATTACTTCATTAAAAAATTAACAATTGAGTGCGATGAAAGCTTGCTTCATTAAAAAAAAAATTAACAATTGAGTGCTATGAAAGCTACCAAAAACTTAAGAAACTTATGAGGTAACATCGGTTTACCTATGAATAGTTTATACCAACAATTAAATTATTGTATTATATCTTTATTACGAACATACACTTCTTTTTTTCATTTTTCTTTTTCAAAAGATAACAAGCAGCACTGTTTTGGCACTGAATTGGTCAAGTAACTTACTTTTTTATTTTTTGGAAAATTAACATTATTGAATGAAAGGTAGAATGCAGAATGTTAATTTTTTAATGCTTAATATGATGTTCTTAAACATATAAGGGAACAAAAACATATGCATGAGCTAATGAAAACATTGAGAAGCGCAAAAATGTAAAAAAGAAGTGGCGCAATTGTCCACAATTTATTTCATTGTATGATTGATTTAGATGCAAACTTTCAAAACTAGCATTTAAAGTGTATAGTACTGATGCTTTTCTTATTTTTTTTTTTTATTTTTCACTTTTTCATTTATCACTTTGCTCACTTATTTCATTGCTTCTTTTACAAAAAAAAAGGAAAAATTTACAAGTGGAATGAATGAACGATATTTGAAAGAACAATAAAGAAAATTTTCAATTTTTTCCAAATTAAATTTGATATTATTGTTTGTGATAAAATTTTGTCAGTGCTAAAAGTCATCGTAATGTTCATTACTTCTAATTTGTTAATTCATTTTTCTGCATGTAGCTATAATGTTTCCTCTCTTTCTTTTTTTTTTTTACAAACTGAAATATTAATAGATTAGCTTAAGAAGTTACAATGATGTATCGTTTAATTTCGAAATGATTTTCAAAAACTTCACTTAGGAAATTGAATTGTCTTTTGAAAATCGTTAACTCTTGCAATTTTTTCTTTTAAATAGGGTTACAAATTATCAACTTTTGCAATCTTATGAAAATTTGAAGTTTTCTTTTTAAGCCCTTGAATATATGATATTTAACAATCATCAATAATTAATGGTTACTTCTTATAGTTCGATGAACTATCTACAATAATATACACTACATTGACCACTGCTTATGACCTATTAATCTTTCTTTCTTTTTGCTGTTTTTGAATGAACACTTAGACAAAAGATGATTTAATTTCATAATTAGCATTAATAAATGAAAAGATGAATGAACATCTCCAGTAAATTATTTTCAAAAGTTTTGCATAGCTTTCACAAAGTGGTTGGTGGGATAAAATGATTGCTACTTACTGCGAGCATCCCAATATTCCCACGTGTTGGGTAACATGGGATAGTTAATAATTCATAAATGCTAACATCGTTATTTGCAAGAAGCTAAACAAATCGTAATAATTTGAGAATTCGTATAAGGTAGATGACAACGACTGATGACAGCATTTCTCAAATTGCACTCCCACGGTTAGCATCTTATTTTCCACCCTGAATTTTCAATCCTTCCTCTCTTCCTCCTTCTCTCTCTCTCTCCCTCTCCTTGAACTCTCTTAAAATGGTCATTTAAATGGGAACAAATGTGACCGGTCTTTTTGTTGAATTTTCAAAGATTGCTTAGTTAGCTAAGTATCATCTTATATTTCATTATGATCAATGCTGAAATTTCATGTCGTGTTTGTGGTGATCGAGCTAGTGGTTTGCTTTTTTTAGACATTTCACATTCATATATCAATTAAAAAAGTTTGAAATATTGAAGAATGAAAAACAAAAAAAAAAAAAAAAAGAAGAAAACGGAAACCTCTTAATTTTTTTCTTTTGTCAATTAAATTTTAAACATTTCACAATTCAATTGAATAATTTTAAGGACGACATTATGGAGTTCAGAGTTGTGATGGATGTCGAGGCTTTTTTAAGCGGTATTTCTCTACCTGTATCAATTAGCATGTTGTAAATTTAAATAATTTGCTGATTTAAATAAATTCGCTAAAATTATTATTGGAATAATCATATAAATCACAACTGAAATAAAAGCATTTGTATTGATACTAAAATTTTATTTCAATACAAATGGTTCCTTTTTCCTTATTATTATCTACCGTATTCAATATTTTTTTTAAAAAAAAGAAGATTGTAATAAATTTTGTTCTAATAGATATTTCAAAAGTAAATTTGATCAAAATAAATGATTAGATGAGTTAGATTAACATAGTTTAGCAATAAAAGTAATGGAACATCTGCCATTCTTTCTAAGTTTTCGTTAGTCATTGCTTGTTTATTTTTCTATTGTTTTTCAACTGTTACAATTAATTTTAAATTAAAAATATTTTACTTTCATGATCGAAAAGGAAAACTCGCTGATAGTTTTATAATGAAATAAATTAAGTTATAATCTTTTATTATTCACTACAATAACATTATGCTATATTTTTCCCTTTTTTTTCTCCTCAAAGGTTAAGCTTTTGCAAATTTTGGATTAAACAGCTCAATTTTTAATAAATTTTAATTTCTAAATCATTAATTTATTAAGAGGAAATTCAGTAAGCATAAATTTTATTAGCATTTTATACATTAATAGTGATTTAAATTATTGATCATGAAGATTGAGTGAATTTCAAAACTTTGGATTCTATGCATAATTCAAATTAAATTTCGACATATTTATATAAACATTGCAATTAATTAATAGTAAAAATCCAAGCTGAATGTGATATATTGATTCCATAAATATCTTTAACAATCAACCTAAATAGGGGCAATATCGCTTGAAAAGTTATTAAGCTGTTTTATTGTAAATAACAATAAATGATATGAGCTATAATATGTAAATAATTACATCTTATTATTACCTACAATAAGCAGATTTTTCATTTTCTGTCTGCTCAATCGAATTTCTATTCAAATTAACTACCAATTAGAAACTCGTTTTTTTTTTTTTTTTTTAAATGATTTTTACAAATTCAATTCAAACATAATTTAAATTTATTCTACATTTAATTCATT